GGGGGGCTGTGCCCTACCATGCCCCCCTTGCATATCACCTCTATGCTCTGGATCTTTTAATTAAAGCAGCTCTCAAAGCCACTCTAATTAAAGTGCCCCCTTTTCTCTCCCTCCACCCAGAACACATGTATAAATACCCTTACATCCCACATATATATTTGGGCTGGCATGGAGAAAAGACCCAGGCTCAGCAGAGAATGCAGAGGCACAACTGTCGGAAGCTCACTACCGAGAACTACTAACAGTGTGAGATACAATAGTAGTTGAAGCTTGCCCTCAATATACCAAGCTGAAGGAGGGATGGTTGCCAAAGGAGAAGCAGGGAGGAATACAAAGCAATTCCAAGGCTCATAAGAGCTGCGTATCATATACCTTCCCCCAGTATAGAATAGTTTTATGCAAGCAGTAACAGGCTTTGTATATTCTTCCCCAGCCCACCCAACCATAACAATAATGAGTTGAGTCCTCACCTGGCTGAGGCCGATTCATCTGCTGTTTCTTCCCCATTCTGGTCCTCCATTTCTTCCCTGAAGCCCTGAGTGAGGACACAGTATTGGGGCCCCAATGGTGAGTGTAGCCTCTTCTTCACCCAAGATCACTGTGGCCAGCAGAAGCTTCAGATCCAGGTACTTCTTAAGGTTTTCTGTGGTTGGGCACCTGTGACCTTGAGAATGGCCCTTGAAGGCTTGAACTGGATAGGATGTTAAGGCTCCAGAATGTTCCTAATACCGTGAGCTTGTAGCGGTTTCACCACACTTGAAGTTCTGGTCTTTTTTTCCCAGTGTTACAGCATCTTCAAGCTTTTAACGGAGCTAAAGCAAATGCTATAGGTGCTAAGAGCCATTTTCCAGATGAGAACCACACATTGACATGTGCTATTTATCCTAGGTGGCGATACTTCTAGTCAGAAGGTGGGATATACACAAGGAACAGCCCTTGGGCAAGAAGTTTAAGAAGACACTCCTCCACTTGAGTGGACTCTAAGCTGCATTACTAGTCAGAGCTTCAGCAGTGCTCAAGCTTCAACCCACAGTCCCTGACAGGCCAACTATCTTGAGCTTAAAGCACAATCTAACTCACTCTAGAGATATTTTTTGCATGGCCATGAATTGGGAATAGGGAAACTGCTAGAATTATATTTTGAATTAACACTACATAAGAGGCAAGCCCCTATCTGCTTCTCCTTGCTCTCTGTATCCTCCTTTATAATGTTCCTTATGGCTAGGTATGGATTACTTTCTGGATGCTTGGATGAGTTCCATTCAGTGCATGTGTGAACAAAAATAAGGCAGCTGACAATCCAAAAGCAGACATACTGAGAGAAAATGGGAAAAAACAGTGCACTGAGTTCAGTACTAAGGAGGAGTTGGAACGAAAGAAAAATGGATAGCAGCACTAAAACCATACCTTAGATGAAGGGCAGAAATGCAAATGTTGTGGCGACTATTATTACTAGTGACTAGAATTTAGCAAATAGTTCTTGCTTGTTTGTTTTTTCTGAATAATAAATTGGACAAATAATCTTATTTGGGCCAGCCTAAAAGTATTTGGGTATTCAACCTTAATTAGCAAAATAATTTTACGTTAAAAGAAATCTTCTTCACTAGATTCACAGAAGGAGGCAAGTGTGATAACTGTTTGTATTCATTGTGTAAAAGACCTGGATTAAGGACCCTTCACAGTGTGGGTGGTTTCAAGCCCACATCTCCCACCTTCTAGGGCACTGCCTGCCACCTTAACAACTGAGCTATAAACTAATCTGGAGTGGAGTGTTGTCAACCTCGCTTGTTGATACAAGTTCCTACCCACCAAGATACAGGGTACTCTGAGATGGGTCTTCCTCCAAACTTCCTGTTGGAGCTGTTTCACTTTGCAGAAAAGTTTAGATAGTCACTGAGGCAGACAGTACAGACCTATTATGCAGCACCCTTTTTAGAAAGAAAACACACTATAGAAGTAACAGAATATGAGGCAACATCCTAAAATGCATTATCTTCTGCATAGTAACACTATCTTCTGATTTGTATTATTATGCAAATATGTACATTAAAAACGAATACTAAGGCTGTTCTAGAAAAAAAATGAATTCTAAATAGTAGATTTAACTGTTATATAACACCTGGCTTCACATACTCAGGCATATACAAGCACTGTGACTGTGCTGTGCATATATAATTTAAGAACTCTACAGCCTAGAACATCAGATAATTTATTTTGCATGAAACTGATCCATTTGCATGTACATAAACCCCTTCTCATGCTTAAAGGTATGAGTGTTCACTTAGATGCACAGGAATTTTGGAATGCTTCTCATGCAATTTCAAGGTGACAATTAGGTAATGTACTTCTGTTTGTAATAGTATACTGAAAAGCAGAACTGTCTGGTGATGAGGGAAGAGTGAAAAAGTATATGAAGTTTATGATAGATTTTGTTTATTAACTTTTAAGAGGCACTAAATATTCAAATGAGTTCTTTGTGAAGAAATCTACAAAAAATGAAACGGAAAACTTACCTGCATAAAAATGCCCGAATTATTTTTGTAATAAATTGAATAATACTGTATAATCCCATTAGGCTTTTGAGGAGGGGACCAGAAGATCAATATTGAGGAGGATGTGAGGTTTACATACGTTACATCTTTTGGTGGATCAGACGGTGCTGGAAACACATTAAGATTTAGCATATATAACATGAGCTTTTCGGGTTCCTATTGCCCAAGATTTATGCTTAACAAAACTTAAAGAAATCCTTACTCAAATTGAAAGTATTTACAAAGTTACTGAAATTCACATACATCCCTTCTTCTGGAGGTGGAAAAGGTATAATTAAACAAATGATTAAATTATATTTTTATAACCCTAATTTTTCAAGGACATATTTAAGATTCACCTACATTTTCATACACAAACAGCATATATAGGATTGTGTGAATAAATGGTGTGTAGGACTGTTGCCCTTCTACCCAACAGCATCATGATTAGTGACCTCATCCAGCATATGAAGGGGGCAATTCCCTCCTCTTCCTCCTAAAAAGATTTATCTCACACCTTCCAGTATCCCAGAGAGTGTCCCAACCAATGCGCTATAGGTACTCTGAAACAGACTGCTCTGAGTCTTTCCTGTTGACACTATCCCATCTCATATAAAACATTAATATTAATTGGAGCAGGAAGTGGAATCAAGGTGATCCCCTCAAGGTGCAAGCTCCAACAGCCCAACTACCAAGTCATTTTCACTCTCTTCATCTATGAATTGTTAATTATTTTAAACAAAGTTGGAACCCATGTTAAGAGGAGAGATGGGGAGTATCCCACCCCAGAAAGCCCTACAGCATGATGGTTAGAACATTCTCATGAGGTATGGAACATCTTGATTCAAATTCATGATCAGGCAGAGTGGTTCTGAGTCTCCCATACCCCATGGGAGTAGCCCAGTAGTTAGTGTCCTAACTACTGGGCTACTTGTTTTACTAAAATGGTTTTACATAAACAAAACGCATATTGTCCAAAAAGTAAGCTATTTAAAAATCCACCTAGTCTCACTTGCAATTATGTATCTTCTAATGAACGTTTTCTACGTATACACTGATGCAGAACCAATACAGCTAGAAAAATGTATTCCTCTCTAGTTGAAGATGGATTCTGCTCTAGTTTGCCACATCACCTAGAGAAAGTCTAACTAAGACTAGGAACAGATATTGTACCTGTCCTTGGACAAGTTGTGCCTGTCTTTGTCCTGAAACAGAAATGTCCTGGGATTTGCACCCTTCTAATCAGTGGCTGAATGCACTGCCATTTTTCTGCCATTTATTCAACAATGCAATGCTAGGATAACTATTCAGATGCACTCTGTGATGTCCTGGAATAAATTGTTAGTACTTGTTATCTCGTGACCCTTTTTAGGATTTTTTCTAGAACAATGGACATGGGTGTCTGAACGACTGCACTTTGTCTTGGGATAAAATGGTTTGTCTCAGAAAAATGTGATGTCTGTTTGTAGCCTAAGGTCCTAATCCTGCAAGCAACTGTATACACGCTCACATAGAACCATACTAAGGTCAGTAAGACTTCGCACAGGTTTAGAAAAAGGTACGCTGCATGCAGTTCATTGCAAGAAAGAGACCTAAGTTTCAGTGGCAGAACTCTTATAACTGGTGATACCAGAAACAAAAACAAATTCAGCCTTCAAAATAGAGTGTACAGGATTGTCATTCAGTAGAATAAAATAAATAAAATCTTTCATTTGTGAAGGATATGAAATTAATTAAGATAAAATTAACATGGAACCGACAATGTCATGTTACTAGAACTTCTTTTTTAGCCTATAACCAATTAAATTCAGTGTTTGTGAGAGAGATGTTACATGTTGGTACTTTCCTTCTGAAAAGGTTGTCACAGCAAGAGAGAAGAGATTACAATTCAAACAAATATTCTTCATTTACTTTTATTTCAAAGTGTAAAATGAAATGGCTGTTTCATCTTTCATGTCTTCCAAAAAAATGTCTGAAGAAACTTAAGTTTCCAATGGGAATGTAAATACATAGGGTGCCTGTGTCTTTGGCTAGTCAAATCCCAGCTTTCGCATCAATCATTTTATACATTTAAAACAGACAGACTGACACAGAATTATGACTTAATACAACTCAAGCATGTTTGCATGATTTATTACTGTAAATAAACTTACCTCCTTCAGAAGTTCTAAACTTTATCGTGCTACTTTTTATGTTTCCATCCCCAAATCTGGTACTTGCTGTTACATAAGCACTATATTCATTGTTATTTTCAAGGTCTGTGAACTGCAGTGATGTTTCAGTGACATTAACACTTCTTTTTGACATTTTATCCCTAAAGAAAAAAATATTTCCTTCATTATATATATATGCTTTAATGGCAAACTGTGGTTTAGTATAAACAGTTTTATTTTAAAAAAACCCCAGAAAACAATATTGTGGTATATCCTATTTATACATAATAGTTAAAAATAGTTGTTTGAGATTAAAACAAAAGAAAGCTGGTCCAGATTGTATATGTATCCTGAAAAACAACCTACTTCCCCACATGGACCTCAGCAGGCCTTGTCACTGTGCTGAAAACCAGGAACACATATGTAAAGTATAGCGAACTGGAAATTATACAGAATATCAAAGACAAGTATGCCCATATAATAATAAATGTCATACAATTATGTAGTACCCTTGTGAAAGATATAGGAGGACACAGAGCCGCCCCTAGGGGTGTGCGGGGCCCAGGGCATATCAGGCTGTGTGGGGCAGGGTCAGAGAGGGGGGTTGGCGAGCAACCGGAGCATGGAGTGGGGGGCAAGCAGCCGGAATGCAGAATGGGGGGTCAGACGGCTGGAGTATGGAGCCGCTGGCATGCAGCAGCCAGTGGCCCTGTACGGCACTGTCCACAGGGCCCTCCAAAGCGCAGGACCTGGGGTGGTTCCTGTGATTCACTCCCCCCCTCCCAAGGTATAGCTCTGGCAGGACATAACCAAATTTTATTTATTTATTTATTTTTTACAGAAAGAGAGAAATATACAAAGCTTATAGTAGGCAGTAGGCCCAACTGTTTCTGTGTAAGGTTAAATCCATTACTTTAAATTGAATTATAGAAGATGATATGTACTTAGAATTAGCTAATGCACAGCTTATTTTGGTGGAAAGGATTCAGAATTGAACACTAGCCAGGCAGAGACCAACCTAGAAAGATTATAAAGTATGATATTAATAAAATTTTGAACAGAATTCAAATTACAATGTAAAAACAAGCAAAGAGAAGGAAATTACTGAACTAACTATATAAGTTATACTGTTACAAAAGAAAACAGAATAAAACTAGTTAAGGCCCCAATCCTCCAAAAAGGTCTGTGTGATAAGTGCAGATATTTGGGGGAAGAAGGGGAGGAAGTTAGGGGGAGGTTAGATTGTGTTAAAAATGGCCACCTGCTCTAACTTAGTTTGTCCAGATGGAGACCTTACACTTAGACCCAGTCTCAGTGATCACAAATCAGTCTAAACCTGTAACAGTACAGAAGTTCTGTGCATATAGACTGGTTTAAAAAGGGCAGAACCTGGTTTAAGATAGACCTGGATTGATGTACACTCAAACTTAAATCAATCTAGGTTAGACAGGTGAATGGAACTTCAGTACAGTTACCTGCACAACCCCAGGGCTGGGAAAGTGCAGCTGCTGGCCCTAGCTCTGGGGCTGTGCTTTTCCTACCCACCACCAGGCTATTTTTAGCCCCCCACCTCATTGTTCTCACCCCCGCAGACCAGCCAGCTCCCCACCTCTTCCCCAACTCACAAGCCACTCCTGGTGCTGGCTTTATCAGCAATATATATACATTAGAATAATAGTCCAGGACAACAGCAAGGGTTAATTGATTTTTAAAGGCCTGGTTCTCACACAGTTTCATAGCCTTCAAGGCAGACAGGATGCCTAATCCAGGCAAGCAACAAGGCCAATGGACGTACATGTAGCCTGGGAAATTGTGGGCAAGTATCACACTGTTCCGTAATATGATATAAGGTAGCACCAGCTCACAAAGCCCAAGAGTGGTGAGCCTGAGAGCTCTGGTTTTGGGGGAACAGACCAAATTAGGAGAAGGCCCAGAAAGTCCAAATTAGAATGTATATATGTAATAGGTTTGTAACACAAAAGAATATGCTGATAGAACAGAACGTGGACAGTATGATGACCACAGAGAGACCAATCCGCGATAGCCATGGATGAAGAGTCATCAGGAGGGGAAAAGAATACAAAAGAAGGAACTTTAGAATAGCAAAGGGTCTCTGAGAGGGGAACCCAAAGCACCGTGGACAGAGGGCATACCACCAGCTTATCTCATTCACCCACACTGGGGGGGGGGGGGGGGGGGGGGGGGGGGGGGGGGGGGCGGGGAGGAGATGGGGAGCGCACCTCAGCCTCCAACCTCCAAGCTGCTGACATCTGACATTCAAGAGAGAATCTCAGAGTGAAGCTCGCACCCTGGCCAGATGTACCTTGACTCTGATGACAGCCCTAGGACTAGTAGATATATAGAATTGCTTGTATTATTTTTATCTGCTATCACTGTGTAGCAATAAATTTGCCTATTTTGAAATAGAAAGGTCATGGTCAGTCTGAGAGTTTGGGTATACCTGGAACAAGGTATCTGGCTCACAAATCCAGTGCCAACAAGGTTGTCCACCTTAATCCTGAAAACACTTGCACATGTGAATAATTCCAGTCTTATAAAAAATGACTATATTTACTCAAGTCTAAAATGGAGTCCCCCCATTTAACATGAGGGAAAAACCTCTCATCTTAGACTCCTGTAAAAGGATGGGGGGCACACGGCTGCTGTTGCTCAAGCACCATCCCCTATCCAGGATCAAGGCCACAGATGCAGCCACTACCCTTCTTCATAACCCTTGCCCCCCACTGCCTCTGCACTGCCTCATCTCCCCCCTCCACAGCCTCTTCTCCTCTCTCTCTCTGTCCCTCTCCCTTCCTTCCTTTACCCTTGCTTTGCACCAGTAGGCTATGCGCATGCTGCAACCTAGGGCACTGAGCATAGCCCCAGCCCAGCCCCATAGTAGTGGTGCACGGCTTACATGGCTGCATGGGGCTGGGATTGTATGTACAGTGCCCGAGGCTGGAATGGGGATGGAGCATACCAGATTGGACAGAGGCTGGTGGAAGGAGGAAACAGAGGGGATGAGAGGAGAGAACAGATGCTGGGGGAAGGGGTAGACCTGAGACTTCACAAGGGCAGGCAGGGAGCAGAGGGGAGCAGGCAGAGGCAGTGGCTACCTACTTGACCTCCTCACACCACTTTCCCCACTACTGTCTACTCCCCCTGTAGCAGTGGGAGAAAGGAATTAATTAGCTTGTATAAAGGGAATATTAGAACAAATTTATAAATTTTCCATATATAAAGTCTAATTACTGTGGGGTCATCTTAAATTCAGAGTCATCTTGGATTCAAGTAAATATGGTACTCATTTGCCTAAATGTTCTCAGTCCTTAATCAGGATATAGGAAAGAGAGAATTAGATAACAATTTAAAAATAATTAAAAGAGAAGTTAATATCCTATTTAGAAATGTAACTGAATATTTAAACAAAAGTAACAATAAAATATCAACCAATAAAGTAGTAAGCATATATTGATGGGCTGACTTGTAGTTAAAGTCTAAAAGTGTAGTTAGTAGGAGCAGTTAAGAGAAAGAAAGCATTTTACACAAGATGAACTATATTAGCTAAGCTAAAGAATTTGTAATAGAGAATAATTAGTACCCAGGTATTATTCTAAAAATAGAATAATAATAAGCCCCTTCTCACAAAGTAAGCTTTTCATCCAAATTACAGAAATGAACTAGATCCATGTAGCTACCACAAATAAGATTAACATTTATTTAATCCTCATACTTTATAAGTAGAAAGTGGTTGTCAATTTTATGATAAAACTTAATTTCATTGGAAAATGTAAATTCATTGAGCCTGAAATATTGAATCCAAAACAGCTTGGGTTCAAAATCTTACAAGGCAGGGCACTGACAAAATCCTTTATGGATTCCTGTTAGATAGCCACAGGGCCACAGACCTTGTACTTCTAGGAGCTAAAAAGTAGGACTAGGCAACTTCAGCATCTTTATAAATATGCCTGGTTTATCCAGAGCTGTAGACCTTTGGAGCCCATGACCCTGGCCTGGGTTGTGGCTTGGGGTAAGCCCCCAGTACAGATTCTTCTCTATTATAGAGAAAGACCCCACTCTTTCAGCAGTTGTGCCTCTGGATCATACAGCTAAGTTGTTGTTGCTGCTGTCTGCCCATTTTGTTTGTACAGCATCCAGCAACATGGGGCCATATTCCATGTCTAACATTAATATAGATAGAATAATAATGGTAATGGCATTCTACTATTATCATTGTCATCATATCAGTTTGCAGTTATGCTCTTAGTGATGGAATCTTCATCTTATTTTAGTGAGAAAGTTGTCAAATGCACCAGTCACCATAAACCATAAATAAATGTAATAAAAATTTTGTTAATTTATTCTTTTACATTGTCAAAAGAACTGCATTTTATTTATTTGCTTCTTTCGGTCTCTGGCACTGTGTGGCAGTGCACTGTGTGTGCCTGCCACTTTAAGGGCCTGGAGTTGGCAGACCCCA